TAGCAACTATAACAGATTTTTAATTTTTTTTGTCTGTCCTAAATGAATAAAATTTCATTTCATGTAACATTTCAGTGACTTGACTCTTCTTTTAAAGCTTGGGGAAAAAATTCAGACAAAGCTGGTAGATTGTTGTGTGTGAAGTTATAAGTACAGAGCAGCGTCTCTCTTACTGTGCTGCTTCCTGAGGATAATTGAATTCCACATGAAAATTTTCTTCCACACAAGAGTTAAGGAATTTGTCATGTTGCACTACACTTCAGCAATGCCTATAGCTAACAGTGTTGCTTCCTCTCCTGCCACCAGGTATTTTTTGTTATCCACCTCCATGCTGGGCCAGTCATTAACACCTTGCCACCCATCATGGACCCTGACCCTCTGCTGACTTGTGACCTGATGGACGGACGTGATGCGTTTCTGACCTTGGCCAGGGACAAGCACTGGGAGTTCAGCTCACTGAGAAGGTGTAAATGGAGCACAATGTGCATGCTGGTGGAGCTGCACAACCAAGGCCAGGACCGCTTTGTGTACACTTGCAATGAGTGCAAGCACCATGTCGAGACTCGCTGGCACTGCACAGTTTGTGAGGTAAGATACAGTTGTGATCATTGACCGTGTTTTAAAAGCAACATCTGCATCGGTTTTGAATTAACACTGAGTTTACATTTTTAACTAAGTTTAATGTCGTCTTTCTCCCCTCTCATCAGGACTATGACCTATGCATTAACTGCTACCACACTAAAGGCCATGAGCACCAAATGGTGAAGTGGGGTCTGGGCTTAGATGATGACAGCAATGGTCAAGGTGGAGAGGCCTCCAAGAGCCCTCAGGAGAGTCGACGCCTTAGTATCCAGCGCTGTATCCAGTCCCTGGTGCACGCCTGCCAGTGCCGCAATGCCAACTGCTCTTTGCCGTCCTGCCAGAAGATGAAGAGGGTGGTTCAGCACACCAAAGGTTGCAAGCGCAAGACCAATGGTGGCTGTCCTGTGTGCAAGCAGCTCATCGCTTTATGTTGCTATCATGCCAAGCACTGTCAGGAGAACAAGTGTCCCGTGCCCTTCTGTCTCAACATCAAACACAAACTTCGACAACAGCAGCTGCAGCACAGGCTTCAGCAGGCTCAAATGATGCGTCGCAGAATGGCCACCATGGCTGGAAGGGGTATGCCTATGCCATCTCCACCTACCTTAAATGCCCCAGACACTCCAAATTCTGTGCAGCAGCCTAATACACCCCAGACTCCCCAACCCATGTCCAACCAGCCCCAACAACAGCAACCACCAAACCCCACCAATATGTCCCAAGGCTTTCCCAGCAACGGCCGCAGCAGTCAGCCTCCAACACCAGTGCCGCAAGGTAAACCGGGGCCTCAGTCATCCCCTCTCCATCAGCAACAGTCACCCATGCCCAACATGCCGCACCAACAGCAGCCTCCACAGCCTCGCCAGCAGCAGCAACCGCAGGAGTCATTGATGGAAGCCCTGAAGGTGGCCAGACAGATCGAGATGTTAGCTAAGTCAAAGCAGCCGCAGCAGCAGCAGCAGCAGCAGAAGCAGCAGAATTATGCAATGAATGGGATGCCAATGAACCACCCACGCATGATGGGGCCCATGCCAAGCCAAATGCAGATGATGCAGGGGCCACGCGGGCCCCAGGTGATGCAGCAGGGCCAGTGGGGTCCGGGGATGCAGAATCCCCAGGGTCATCAGCCACAGGTTCCTCCTCAACAAGGCCCCATGCCCCCTCAGCAGCCTCAGGGAAACCCAATGCCCCAGCAAGGTCAGCCCATGCAGAGGCCCATGATGCCCCAGCAAGGTCACCAGATGTCTGGGGTCATGCCTGCACAGGGCTCCTCACAGCAGGGCATGACACCACAGCGACAAAACATGCCCCGAGGTATGCCGGGTAACATTGCTCCAAGTGCCCTGCGGGAGCTATTGGACACCCTGAAATCACCCAGCTCCCCACAGCAGCAACAGCAGGTCCTGAGCATCCTCAAGTCTAACCCCCACCTCATGGCCGCCTTCATTAAACAGAGGACGGCAAAATACCAAGCCAACCAACCACAGCAACAGCAGCAGGGCCAACAGCAGAACCCCCAGGCCATGCTAGGATCCCAGCCAGGAATACACACAATGGTGGGCATGGCAAACCAGGTGCAAAGGCCAGGGATGGCACCTCAACAGCAGCCTCCTCAGCAGGTGGGACCCCAGGGAATGCCATCCATGGGCACCCAAGGCCAGATGGTACCAAACGGAAATCAAATGTTCCGCAGACAGCAAATTCTTAGGCAGCAGCAGTTGCAACAGCAGCAGCTGCTGCTGCAACAGCAACAGCAGCTGCAGCAACAACAGCAGCTGCAGCAACAACAGCAACTGCAGCAGCAACAGCAGCAGCAGCTGCAGCAACAACAGCAGCAGCAGCAGGGAGGTTTGCCTCCAGCCCATGGGCAGTTCCCCCAACAGCAGCCGGGACCAGGAAGCTATATCCGTATGCAGCAGCAGCAGCACATGGCTATGCAAGGAGGTGGGGGGCCTATGGGACCGCTCCCTCCCACATCTCAAATGGGCCAACCTGGGATGGGAATGGATGGACAGCAGAACTTCCAGCAACGCATGCTTCAGCAGCAACAGCATCAGATGATGAAGCAGCAGATGGGCTCTTCGGCACAGGCCAACTCGATGAGTCCACAGCCTCACATGCTCCAAGGCCAAGCCCAGGCAGGAGCTCACCTACCTGGCCAGACAATGGCAAACACCCTGGGAAGCCAGGTACGCTCTCCAGCCCCAGTGCAATCGCCCCGCCCACCTTCGCAGCAGGCCCCTCATTCCAGTCCCTCCCCTCGGATACAACCCCAGCCATCACCTCAGCATGGCGCACTCCACTCCAGCTCTCCCCATCCCAGCTTAGGAGGTCCCATGTCAGGGCCCATGGAGCAGGGTCACATGGGAACACCAGAGCAGAGCGCCATGCTCCCGCAGCTTAACACACCAAACCGAGGGGGGTTGAGTAGTGACATGGGTATGGTGGGTGACACGACGGGAGACACACTAGAGAAATTTGTTGAAGGATTGTAGCATTTTGAGACAGAAGAAAGGCCTTGTTCTGTTTTCAGCTGCAACATTTTTCTATTTGCTGATGTAAAAAGCTAAAAGAAATCACAAAATAAATGAGTCTTACGAGGCCTACGGACTGTGAACCAAGGACTACTTTTTTCAAGTACACAGAGTGATTTAATAATTGCTGTTGAAGAAACAACAAAGACACAATGAATATATTTTTGGTTCAGACCAGCCTTGCAAGATTTTGCCCTGGTCTTTGTGTTTTAATTTGTTTTTCATTTGTTATGCTCTGGTATTGACTTTTTAAAAAAACCTTCTCTAAAAAAAAAAAATTTCATTTTATTATTTTTTATTTTGTACGTTTGCAAATTAATATTGTATTTGTGTAAAGAAGACTGTAAAATTATTTGTGTGGGAATTGTTTTTGCCAGGCTTCACCTCTTGCTCAGTTTCTCTGTTCCTGGCTAATTTATTCTAATATGCCATTTTTCAAAAAGGACTGCCTTTAGGAAAGCCTTAATTTCTTTCCTGTTTGCAGAGTCTAAAGGAGATTAACGTATTTGTATAGATCTAGGAACTATTGCACACACCCAAACACAATTTGCAGGTTGAAGGTAAACCTGCGATGACTCTTGTTCATGTTCACAGGTGCAGGAATGTTCTTTTTACTGGCCTGGGCCCAGTGTTTGTCTTGCAGATGTTCAAAGATTGCTTTGTCTCTCCTTCAGTCTAAAGAAATTCTCATTAAGTCCTAAACCTCTTTCGCCTGTGGTGGGAAATTATCTTGTTTGACTGCTAATTTGTGTTCAGAGAGTTTTGTGCATCATTTTCTCTCGCATTAAACTTGAATTGATGATGAACTATTCTCTAATGTAAATCATGCAGGTGGACAGTACTGTAAATATGCAGAAAAGAAATGAAATCACTGTACAAATTGGTTCAAATGGCTCATTTCGTACTTATATACCATATTGTTAAATAAACCTGTGTGCCACAGACTCTGCCTTGAATCTTTCTGCATGGGGGAAATTCGTATGTGTTCAGCAGCTGGGCTGATTTTTATTTGCTCAATCATTTCTCTATATTAAAAAATAAATAAATAAAACGATCCATTAGATTTTCATCAGTTGCGTGTGGAAGCTTGTTTGGGCCACTGAAGAATTTGTTTGTTTTTTGGGGGGGTGCCCTCCTTAAGTCAAGGTTTCAGGTAAATTCAAATGATCACTTTGACATTTCAAACTTAGTTGGACATTGACATTTTGAAATGTGTAACCTGAAATTTTGAGAGATGATGAAATTATGAGATGTGTAACTTAAAGTTTTAAACTGATAACCTGAAGTTATTGAGATATGTGAACTGAAATATTGTGAAATGTAACTCAAATTTTGAAATAACCTGAAAATTCGAGGTAAGATTTTAAGATCATATTCTGAGATTTTGAGAGAACTGAATTTGCATGTAGGTAAGAGGACAAATTGAAATACAACCCCCCCCCAGTGGTAACTGCAAGCTTTCATAGTTTCCAAGAGTTTATTTTGATGTGAGAACAGGATCAAGAAAAATCTTCACATTTAAAAAATATGAACCATCAGATTTTTGCCATTGACAATTTGAAATGTAACAAATTGTTACAAAATAAATGCTGCTTGCATGAACATAACTAATTTTACATTCTTTTTGACCTTGAAGTGTAAATTGGCAACAAAGAAAAAATCTCAATTTTAAGTAATCAGAAAACTCGAATAAATAACCGTACTAAAGATTAATATAAATATATACACATATAATATACTATGTTATATAATGTCGTAATATAATGTATTACGACATAAAACTTAATTATGCACATAGAGTTTGAAGAGCATCCTATTCTCATCAGGCAGATTGCGGTCGGCCTTTTGACGTCATTATCGCGCGCAGTCGCAGGTCCTTTTTCCGCTGTAGTTCAGCGTGTGTCCCTGTCGGTCAGTTGACCTGTCATTTGTTTTGTCTTTGGGTCCCACCTGAGTGTCAGCATGTCCCGCTGTCTCGCGCTGGCTCGGTTCGCTCTCGGTTCCTCTCAGAGGGCCAGCTCGCGGCTGGTGTCATCTACACGCGGGCTGAGCAGCCGACCTGTCTCGCGCTCCTTGACTGGAGGTAAGCTGTGCTTATTAGCCAGCCAAGTTAGCCTAGCCGCCTAGCTGACAGCACCAAGATTTCAGTTAAATGTAAACTCTGCTTCGGCTAACCTTTGTGGCCATGTTTTTTTAAACTAACCTGCGGCTCACGTGTCTTACAGTAGAAACCGATTAACGGTTGAATTTAAAGCGATTCGCTTATAAATTTTATTGCATGGTTACATCCAGTGTTGGGTAAGTTACTTTAAAATAGTAACCTAATTACATTACTAGTTACTTCTATCAAAAGTAACTCAGTTACTTCAAGTTACTCGTTACTTTCAAAGTAACTAGTTACTAGGGAAAGTAACTTTGGTTTTACTCAGAATTCTCTTGTTAATGTGTTGCTTCCATAACTTTGCCAGTCTTCTAGCTTGCTTACTTGCCACAA